CTCCGCCAAAAAAGCTTCCAAATTATCCAATATTGGATTTCGTTGTTCAAAAAAAGACGAAAACCATGATAATGTAGAACCAGAAAGTAGAGTGCCAATAAACCTGACTTGTGATCCTGGAGTTGGATAGCTTTGCGGTTGAAATTCAATTGCCAATTGTACTTGATTGATGAACCCTCGAAACTTAGATCTCGTACCATCAAATTTCTCGGGTAAGGCAATTCTTGGTTCTCTAGTGTTTACAGGGTGTTGTACAATTGGAGAAGGAACGTGATTTGTTGTAGATGTTGAAGCAGCTCCGATCATCTCTATATCCCCACTTTCTGCTATTCTTGTTCTTTCATGTGTTGGTGAATTGAGTTGATGCATCGTAAGCATTAACTCCCTCATTTGTTCTTGCATTTGTACCATTGCACTCTTCATTTCAACAAGCTCTGCCATAATGACACTAAGAAAAATTTGTTTGATACTGCTCAGGACAAAAGAAAAGAAAGACTTGATAACAAAGAAGATACTAAGAACAATATCAGTTTAGAAGTGGGTAATCCGCAAACTTCTAATACGCTTATGTCTTGTCAAGAGAAAGAGGTAATCCACTCTTACTCAAGAAAAACAAAGCTCTGATATTGTAAGTGTATTCTTGTCAATCTGTCAAGGACAAAGACTCGATGAGAGAAAATATACACAAAAAGGCTATCTCGATGTAATAAGTCAAAATATAAACAAGTAAGTATATTAAAAGGAGGCTGGAATGGCTATTGCCACAAGACAAGAAACTAAAGACTCTTGAACCTGGACTAGAAGCAAGAAAAAAGTTGACAAGAGTGAAGAAGCCTTCACTCTTGTCTCTATATATACTATCTAACTAGGGGCTACGTGGCGACGTTCTATAGGACCTCCAATATGTGTTGACTTTGTAGGACACATGCCTTGACTTACAAGGTAAGTTTTTCTACGTGTGGGCCACATAGTTAGCTTGATCTTCAAGCTAACAACATGTGTGGCACATGGCCAACTTGTTGACCACGTTTCTAATCCAAAAAGTCAATTAAAGACACCTATGAAGTTAAAGCAGTGTCTAGGAAGTTTCTAGGAAGCTTCTATATTAAATATTATAGAATTAACTTACTTTTATCTACTTTTACTTACTTCTATCTATTTCTATTAGCTTACATGTTTATGGCCGTGACACCTCCAAAGCTTGATATGATTGAATTGAAACTCATCTACAAGACAAGAAGCTTTAGAAAAACAATGCAAATCCAAACATGTACTTTACACTATAAAACAAATACTACACCATAGTATTATTCTATATGGACAATATCATTGTTACAAGAGATGATATATTTCATATTCATAAACTCAAAGATAAATTAATAAGCACCTTTAAAATAAAAAATTTAGGAGATATAAATTTTACTTGTAGATTGAATTAAAATACACCTCTAAAAGAATCTAATTCCACCAAAGATACTATATTTAAACCTTATTAGATAGGTTTATATTGATTTATTGAAAACCATTTTTAGTGCTAATGAATCTAAAATCCAAGCTTCAATAAAAAACTATAACACTTACAATCAGCTACAAGTTATATCAAAGACTTGTTGGATTTCTATCCTATGAAAATATCAACTATTGAGACATATGATTTGCAATGGATATGGTATCAAGGTATATGAATAAACTTCAATTCATTTATTTGGTTTCAATAAAGTAAATACTATAATACCTCAAAGGTACTCTAGATTATAGAATATTCTATCTTTCAAATCATGAGATATGACTATTAAGCTTTGCCAATGTAAATTGGACATGAAATATTTACTTTTGCAAATCTATATTGAATTTACTCTATAAACTAGAATTAATACCAATAATATGGTCAAATAAGCTCCAATTGCCAATTATAATTTTTAAAATAGATGCCGAATATTATGTTTTCTTAGAAATTACTTGCAATATCACTTACTTCTATAGATTACTCAAAACACTCTACTTAGATGATAAAAGCCCTACATCATTACTATGTGACAATGTAAGTAGTATTAGATTAGCTTAAAAATCTAATTATGCCCCAAAAAACAAAGCACATAAAATTAGACCATTATTACATCAAAAAAATATATTAAGATATAATAATTAATATAAGATATACTCCTACATATTTGCAATAATCCAACATTTTTACAAAAGCCTTAAGTTCGGTTGTATTTATTGAAAATAAAGAATCAGCTAAACTAAAAATAGTACTAGCATAGATATATAAAAAGTATAATTTAACCTTGGCTAGCTTAAATTAGCTTCTAAATTAAATATATATTTTTATTTTTTCTTAAATTTTAGATTTATTATGCTTTATTTTTTTATAACGTTAAATATGCTTTATATATTTTAATCAAAATATAAAAATCTCCACACTATATTCATATTGCATAGCATAAATGTTTTAGAAAATATGCCTTAAATAAAATCCTATCTTTTAATAACTTCTTTAACCAAGCCACCAAGAAAGGAACCTCGCCAATTACAGAATTATCAAGAACACTCACATTGTCTCTCTATGATGTATATAATAGTAGCCAAAATAGCACCAAATTAAAAAATGACTTGCAAATTCATCAAAGAATCACCATGACAAGCCAAACTACAAGGAAAAGAATTTTAAACTGAAGACAATAAAATAAAATAAAAAAAATCAAAGATCAATGAGTACATAGTTGAAGAATGAACTAGGAAAAAAAATTCAAAATTGTGCAACACCTTACCAATAATAAATCATAAACTATACATTGCAATTGCTCATGAATCTCAATTAAAGTAAAGTGATAAAGCACCATCAAAGGAAGAATGATAAATGTAGGTTGAGTAGAAGTATTGGTGACATCCAATTTCCTCTTCTTTTCTTGTAATGATGTCACTTCCCACTCACACTACATTGTCTATGGCAACAATGTCACTTCTATTGAATTTATGGTGAGATAGAAACCTTTTACCACTTCCTGCTGCTAGCTTATCCCTCCATGTATAAAACACTTGTCTTCTAAAGAAAATATCAAGTTACTCGTATATATTTGCAATAACTTTTCTTATCAAAATCATGGATAATGGAGCAAGCATGCAACTTACTAGCCAATCCTGATGCAATTTTGGTAATTTGAAGTTGACAACAGCCTTCAGACGAAATTTTTCATTGATAGGATAATTTTATCAGAGTTAGATCCGGTCTTCCACATTTTAACATTCAACAAATTGACACATAAGTATCTCGTTTTTTCAAACTAAGGCTTCAAACAGGAGATACTCATGAGTCGTGTGCCTAAGGTGCCATGAATGTCGCTGCTCTCATTCTAAAGAATAAGGATAAGAATAAGGAGAGGCTTGGAATCCTGAGGAGAGATGGATATGGCATAGAAAGCTAAGCAGGGAGGCCAAAGCCAAACGAAGGCTTCAGAAACTCACTCTATCATGCTTTCACACTATGCAACACACAACCATGAATCTCGTGATGACGTCACTAGCCCTATGGCTGTGGACAATCATCGTCACTGTCTGAATCCTTGTTTGGAAGGACCACACCAAGAGCAAGGTAAACTAAATATCAGCAACTTTTTATTAAAAGAAAAACGAAAAACGAAAAACGAAAAAAAAGATCTCATGTATTGTGACAATGTGTGGCTTCTCTCTGTATGAATATTGAAATATATTTTGGAAATTATATATATATATATATATATATATATATATATATATATAAAAAATTCCAGCAACAAATTAAGGGTTCTCAAATTTTATAACAAGAGAGAAAACGTTGAGTTAATGAGAAGAAGGATATTTTTTCAGAGATACTTTAAATAAGAATAATTGATAAAAACAGTCAGGATGAAATGACTATTCTTTGTGTTTATATTATTATATTGTGTGCTTTGAGTGATGTATTCTTTTAAATGATTTTAATAGAAGTAATTTAGTCACTCTAAGCCTGTATACATTGGAATACAATGATAGGGTTTATATTTGAAAATATCAAAAATAGTCGTCTAGGGTATTATTTTTATTGTCAACAGAAATTCTTAAGTAATAACGAAGTCATTGATTCCTAAATTTTGAGTAGCACTATTTTCATTCAAGTCAATATTGCAAAGTTTGATGTATAACAATAAGGGTAATAAAATATATTTAGATTAATAAAAAAAATCCAACAGATACTCATGAAGTTCTACAATGTTTTGGACATAACTTTCAGTTTGTCGTTTCAAGAATTACTTTTTTTTTTTTTTTTTTTTTTTATTTAGCTACTTTTTGTTTTTGCTCCACAATTCAGATCAATCAATTGGATTACGTCTTATCCATCTCTACGAATATATTGCACATATATTAGTTCACTTTAAAATTTGTACAAAACCTATGATGTTAAAGGACAATAAAAAAGAATGCAACAAATGTGTGTCTATTATACTATATCTCCATTTCTGCTTTGGGTAGATTATAATCGATGTATTGCTGTGGAGTCTTCGTTTATATCTTGTATCAGTAATTGTAAAATTTGACAATGATTAAGTTTTCAATTATGATTTTCAAAATTTTGATACAAGTGTGCAATTTTGGTAAATTACAGAATTATGTAAAACAACAAATAGTTGATTTACCAACATATATTATTAATATGTAGTATTTTGGATACAGGGGCAACGGGTAACTACAGAAAAGGGGTGCGACACGCCAATTGGTGGCCCTGAAATTTAAACGAACCACCACATTGTACAAACACTGGTCTGTTACCGTTTTATCATCGGAAGTAGCACTACTTTAAAGTGCGGGTACTATAAAATGAGGTGTCGGGTCTCGCGGGAACAAAACCAGAGCCCGGCAGGAACGGGAACGGGGCCAGGACCTGGCGGGACCCGGCCGAAGAGGGAGCAGGAGGCTGCAGGAACGGAAAGCCCAGGATGCTCCAGTGAGGACTGGACGATGCCGCGGCTGGCTTTCCGTTTCCCAGTTTTGCAGCCTCCTCCTCAGTTTTACCTGCGTCCGTTTATTATCGTCTATCCATCGACTGACTCCCTGGCCCAAGCTGTTTCTCTCTCTCTCTCTCCCTCCTTCGTTCTCTCCATTCTGTTCAAGGTTTCTTCCACTCTGATACAGTGCACGGGCACCTTCATTTTTTTGAATCCTCAGTCATTGTCACCGAGGAGTGTACAGAAATACTAGCCTCACCCCTTCCCTTTCTTTCCCCTCTCGCTTCGCTCCTCTCGGGAAGCGGGGGAGTTGTTGCTGGTATAGGGCGCTTGTTTTCCTTTGTGAGTGCGACAGGTCGCCATGGCGGACAGAAAGAGTAATACTGTTTCCACTACGGACGTTGGCAGCGCAGGTGGTAGCTCGTTGCGTGCGGAGCAGTGGAAAATGCGAGGTTGGCCTTGGTTTCATACACCCTCTTTGGTTTTTTCTGTATCGCTGAGGTGTTTTCGAAGGCGTTGCCGACTTGTAACCTAGTTTTTGAGGTCGTTAACCTGCGGGGCCCGTGTAGAGTAAGAGGACCGGAAGCTGATCCAATGAAAAACTTTACTCTTTCCCTATTCCAAGACATCTCCGTCGCGTAATCCTTCGTCTCATTCTTCCTCTAGTTTTTTTTTTTTTTTTTTTTGACCTAAAGGTCTTGGTATTAATGGGATCTGTGCTGAATCTTCGGCTTTAATGTGCATTATACGTATGTTTTTAGGGGGTTTTTTTTTTTGTTCCTCATCCTGTGCTCCTCTTGAGAGTAAAATCGACGACTTTTAGATGTTGAAGCTGCGAGATGTTGGCTGTTCGGACTCTTTTTCGTCTCTATCCGGAGATCTCGGTTGCTATTATTGTTACTGGTACATGCTTCGCTATCAACTTGGCCACACCGTTATGTTATCGGCTGTGACGCGACTAAGTATAGTAACGACTTACATGACATTCGTATGCGTTGTGATAAAAGTCCAGCCATCTAATATTTCCTACTCAAGTTGTCGTGGTCGTGTTTTCTTGCTTCTTGGCATTTTTCTATCAGGGTTTACTTTATTCCCCGTCTCCGAGGAACTCATATCTTGTCTATGTACTTGTGAAGACCTCGCTCGTTAGTTCAGCGCGAGTCCTGCACATTCTTATTGGTTTCGGCGGGATGAGAGTTCGTGTTTAGGGTTTCAGAGGTTTACCTTCTAGAGTCTCATGTTTAACGTCTCAGCCTAGCGAACCTTCGGAGTTTCCCGTATCCTGAACTGCTCTCCAAACCGCCCACCCGTCTGTGGCTTTGCAGTGTGTTTAGTAGGCCGTGTTTTCGAAATCTGGGTTCCTGCCTTGAATTCATGATGCACGACAATTTTCATGTGTTGACCACACTTAGATTTCTGTGTATTTTTCTTCGTCTTCCTCTGTGGTCTTCGTGTCTATCCTAGTTTGCATTCAAAATCTAGTCTAATGGATACTGGATGCATTAATTCTCCTTGGGCTATAATTCATGTCTAATACAGAGGGGTCAACTCTTCGATCTAGCTTGTTGTAGCCTAATACCTATGGTGGTACACATGAGGATGCAGATGAAGGGAGCGGAACTTTAGGCACACCGAAGGCGGGTTTTGGAGCTCATGAGTCAGATACTAAAGGTACTGGACTAGGGAACCATTGCAGTATTTTTCCATCTGCTTTGACTGTTGTGCAAGGTCTTTGATTTGGAGATTGGCAAGAGATACGAATGATGTGAATATTGCCGTTTGAGATTGCCTATTTGATTACAGATTCTGGGAATTCGGAGAACATTATTCCACTTTCACCACAGTGGCTGCTATCGAAACCTGGAGAGAGTAAACCGACAGCTCCGTCTGGGGTATAGGATCTCGTACCTCCTGTCTGTTTTGGTTCTGATCTTTTTGAGCATCTGAGTCTAGTTGCAACACGAAGCGTATATGTTTTTGTTCGCTCCTTGCGTGCATTTTTTGGGGTTCGAAGATCCAGGTCTATGGATTGGGCTACCGTTGATATTGTGTGGTATCTTGTGTGTGCCCGGGAGTAGGAGATCTAGGTCAAGAGCACAATTCTGTGTCAGCATGTATGTATCCGGTAAACAATGATCGATTGAATGTGCGGTCCTTAACGTACCTTAATGTCTTCGAAGTGATTAACTCGTGGGAGTTGTTCGCAGGATCCTCCTCGCGGTCCTGGCATTCTCAGTCCAGGTCATGGAGTGAATGATGCTCCTGGAAAAGAACGATGGCGTAATGTAGAAGGAAGTCCTCAGGATCCGAAGAGAAATAGAGACTGGTGGCGCACAATATCCATGGAGCGCGATATGGATAGCAGTCGAAGAGAGCGATGGAGGGAGGAAGAGAGGGAAAGTAGCAATAACCCTGCTCCTCGTCGAGATCGATGGAAAGAAGGGGAGAGGGATACGGTTGGGGATCAAGCCTCTCAGGCACAGAATCGCCGAGCTGTGAACGAGAGGTGGCCAGACATGAACGCGGCTGGCGGGAGAGAGTCCGGGGAGCCATTGAGACGAGTTTCGTCGGAACGGTGGGCAGATACACTGAACCGCGAACCCAATTTTGATAGTCGTCGCGACAACAAATGGAGCAATCGGTGGGGTCCGGATGAGAAGGAGAGAGAATTTCGTGGGAAATGGGGTGGGGATGGGATAGACAAAGAAGGAGGAAAAGAAGTCGTTGATGGCGGCGGATACCATCAACGTCACGTAACGAATGCTCACAATATGATTAGAGATGCCGACCGAGAAAGAGAGCGAGAGAGAGAGAGGGAAAGAGAACGCGAGAGGGAACGTGAAAAAGAAAGGGAGAAGGAGCCAGACACGTCTCGCCATGATCGAGCTTGGCGTCCTTCATTTGCATCCCGAGGAAGAGGTGAAACTCCTCACCTGGGTAGCACCCCTCCTAAGACGGCTCCCGGATTTATGACTGGCAGAGGCAGGGGTGAACCTTACGGCGTGGGATTCACTGTGGGGCGCGGTCGTGGCAATCTGCAGTCCGGACTTCTGCATGGGCCTCTGTTAAGTCCGCTCGGTTCTCCATTTCTTGTAGATAAATGGGATATCGGAAAAGAGAACGTTTTTAGGTATCCCCGTGTGAAGCTGTTGGATATTCATAGGAAATGTGGTATATTATCCTTCCAGAAGTATCCTGAAGGTTTCACCGAAATCGCGCAGCTTACTCAGAGCGATCCCTTGGAGCCCATGGCCTTTTCCCAACCTGACGCGGAGGAAGAGGTTTGTGATCTCTTTCAATGCCTGGTTTCATCGATGAATGGTGTAGTGAATGTAGTCGGTGAAGTCTAGTTTTGGACCATATTGAGGGTTGTCGCCAGTAGAAATGATGCTTATTTCTTGTGATAATCACGTCGAGGAGGATGCATGTGAACGACGTGACCGATGCGATCAGATTACGCGCGCTATTCAGCGTAACCATGGGTGGCTTGTGTTTTTTCACAGGATTTTTTCACTCATGGATTCGGAATGATGTTTTTCTCAAAAGTCTAACGTGTGATAGTTTGGTTTGTTAGGCCATTCTGGAGAGCATACGCAAGGGTGAAATCGTGAGCAGTGGTGCTGTGCATAATTCGGCGCCAAAAGAGGGTTCGTTGAATAGAGGAATGCGGCAGGATTCGATCGGCCGGGGTCGGGGAAGGGGGCAAGGTAGAGGTGTAGGTATGTATTTAGTCATGTTTGTGACTAAATGGGTATTTTCAGCAATGCAGTGATTGGGTGTAGTAGTAGTTGAATCGGGTGGATGGATGCCCTGGACTTGAAGTTTTCTGGTGTGCTAGAGGATTACGATTTTGCTTTCTCATCGTGTTAGTTTTGTAATTCGATTGATCGCTGTAAATGTATTGCGATGCTCGTCGAAAATGGTGACAATACATTAAACATTTTGATTGGCTGATGATGTTGGTCGGAGTAGTGGGCAAAGAGGATTCCGGGTTCGATAGTCACAGAGAAGACGACTTTTTCGACCAACCTGGATTTGGAAGCAGTCGCGGTGAGGATACAAGTGCTATGGAGAAGCTGGTAGAGGCACGTTTTGCAGATGCAGAGGAGTCTTGGGAGTCGCGTGCACGTGCTGACAATGATGGTACGCAAATTGAACGGGGATAATTTGGGGTTGGAAAGTGCAATATGTGATGCGTTGGTGTTTCGGAGGCAATCTGGTCATTCGTTTAGCTAGGATGTGACGTGGATAGTAAAGAGTTTCATATGGATCGCCTGTTGGAACTGTGTATATGTTTTTATATTATGATACGATTTATAACGATTTTGCGAACGCGTGTTTTGTGTAGGTTCGGTTGCAAGGGAGGAAAATACATTGAGGCGTGGAAGAGCGGGCGAAGACATAGATCCCGCCCGAGATGATGGAAATTGGAGGCGCGACGGTGGTGCCCGTAGTGATGGTGCTTGGCGGAAGTCGAAAGCAGGTGACGAAGGTCTCGGGCCTACCAAGGATGAGAAGATTGATAGGCTTGAGCGGATGGGCGAGAGGGACGAGCGCAGTAGTTGGCGACGGAATGAGCAGGTATTGTTGGTATGACGCTACTTGGTGTACTGTCGTTGACGAGCACGGGAATTTTCTTTTGTAAATCTTGTGCTTGAGTTGATTGTTTATACATTGAATCACTGTATTGTTGTTTTCGGAACTGTTTGGGTGGGTGGAAAAGTCGTGTCTTCTAGCCAGGTGACTCCAGGTATTGTTCGTTATTCAGTTCGTGGCTGTAAGGGAAGCTGTTGTTGGGTTTGCAGGATGTTTCAAAGAACGAAGTCGGCGTGCCGATAGAAGGAGATTTATTTGCTCACCACAATTTAGCGAAAACAAGCGGTCGAGAAGGTATTTCGGGATTGAATGGCACAACTGCTCTTGCGTCTAAAGCTGGAAAATCAGAGGAGCAAGGATCTGGTGGTCAAATTAAGATGCCCAAGGAGAGCTACGAAGCCAGCTCTAAAGCAGCGGGATTCAACCAGGAATCGTCCATCCATCAAGTAGCCCCCGAGGATCTTAGCATACTTTACACGGATCCTCAAGGAGAAGTACAAGGGCCATTTTTGGGGGTGGACATTATAGGGTGGTTTGAGGCCGGTTTTTTTGGGTTAGACTTGCCCGTACGCCTAATGGATGCTCCTGAAGGGACACCGTTTACGGCGCTGGAGAATATAATGCCTCACTTGAAGCCAGCGGTGAAAGTACCACCGGGTTTCACCAGCTCATTGAAACAGTTGGAGGAAGGTGGGGAGTCGATTCATATGAAAGCTGAAGGTATTTCATCAATCATCAGCTCTCGACTTCCGGAATCTTTATCGGTCGACAACGAGATGGAGCGCGGGGGAGGCGTTTTGGAGCCATCTTCGGACATTGACCTCCTGGGTTTGACGGGTGATTCAAAGAAAGTGTTTGGCAACGAGTTTCAGGTTGGATTAAACGGAAAAATAGCAAGTAGCAAATCTGGTAAGTGTTTTGAATCTGAGATTTTTTTTGAATTTCGGCGTGGGATTTGGTGTTTATGTGAGTATCATAGTGTCTATAGGTCGCTTAGTTTTTGCAGGCGCTTTGTGCATGTCATCATGCAGCTGAGGGTGTCAGTTGTTGTGTCAGAAATGTTAGTGGACAAAGTTTTTGGAAGAGGCAACACTGAGTTGGGCGTCAAAGCTGAAGAGGCGAACGACCAATCCCATTCTATTCGAAAACGTATGTCAGCATTCTCTCGAATGGACGCAGAGGTGTCGGAAACTGGTAATGTCGGTTTGCCCAATCTGTTTCCTAAAAACGAAGGACCTACCTCATTGCCAGGTATGTCGTGAACCAGACGGTGTGGGTTTAAGTATGAACTTCTGCTTTGTGGATTAGGAAATCGATAGCATGAATCGCTTGAGTGGGTTTCACGTTGGACCCTTGGTTAGCCGTTATTGTGCCGTGTTCAATCTTGAAAGCGATGTTTTTCATGGATGAGGCGACCTGGAATTAGCTTCATGATTGGGGCTGGTATTTGTTGAAAATCTAGTGAATCTGTGCATTTGTTGCTGTGAGGATTTGTTAAAGTGGTCTCATACATTTCTGGACACAAGCCTGATAGTTCCTCTTGTTATTTTTCGTCGTGGTCTGGAAGATGCAAAGAAGTTAGTGTCTGAATGCTTTTTTGTGTTGGCAGGTCAACCGCTGTTTTCTGCACCTAAGGCGCCCCGGTCACCCTCTATACAGCCGGATTTATCGCCTATGTTGCAGAATGGACATGGTCATCCAGGGCAAGCAGACCAGCCATGGACAGACACTCTTTTGCGAAACCTGTCATTGGACGCATCATACTCTCACGTGGGGCTTCCACCTTCTGGAAGCGGCATAGATCCCACACACCTAGCACAGCAACTGGAGCAACTGGAAATTCAGCACTTGCAGAGAATGGGTTCCTCAGGCTCAGCATTGCAGAGGCAGCTTTCCGGTGTATCCCCTTCGCCTCAATCGTCACGCATTAATCTGGATCAGCTGATGCGGCCTGAGGGCATCCCTCCCCGTGATCATCAAGGACTGAATCCATTACACTCTCAGATGCCTCCTCAGTCACATCAAGCACCGGTGCCTATACCACCGTCAGGTCCCGTGCTGGAGCAGCTGTTACGCATGCAGCAGCAACAACAACAGCAACAGCAGCTGCCAACGCAGGTACGGTGTAGTGGTGGATTAGAGGTGACAATTACGTCCGCAATTTTTAGTGCTGTATGTGCGGGCACCTCCGACGCCATAGGAGTGTTTTGTTTATTTCGGACATACTTGATATGGATTAGATGGTAAACTGAAAGTGCACAATTGTGACATGGTTTAAACTTGAGTCATTCCATTTTAGCGTGTATATATGATGAGTCTTCGCGAGTGCACTTGCGGTGTGATTTGGTCGTGTTGGGAATTATGTTGCAGTGCTACGAGGGTATACGGGATGTGTTAGTGCTGATGAGTAAGTGTGGCGATGATGGTGGTGCAGGTACTAATTGAACAGCTGCTGCGGAACCAGTCTATGACTCCCCCTGCACACCTTGAACACCTGCATCGTCACGGCTCAGGACTTGCAGATCAGCTCTTGCTTGGTCGGCAACCTCAAGACCCACAATTGCGCGATGCATCCGCTCAGCACTTATCGAGCAGGGAGTTTGAACAGCTTCTTTTAGCCCGACGAAATCATTCAAACAGTTCGCCATTCGAGCAGATGTTACGTCAGAGGCAGGAGGAACAGCAGCAACAGGTATGGGTCTTAAGGACATATTCAATAGTAGATAAAGTGCCTCTTTTAAGGTGTGTGTGTTGATGATGCGAGTACCCGAGATCTATGTGTTCGGATGTTAGCATTGATTTGCGAGTGAAATCGAGTAAGTAGTTGTTGGGCTTGAGAAGCATTGCAGTAGAGTTCTTTTTTTGCCAGTATGCGGTATGTCATTTCGATGAGTGCTGTGTGTGTGTGCAGTTGGTGCAATTTGGATTACCAGTGCCCCAGCCACATCAAAGTTTAGAGGATATGCGAGTTTCCGGTGTGTGGGAGGTGGATGAGTTCGGACAGTTTGTGAAGCGTACACAGTCGCCTGCCCCTATGCGGCCATTTGAGGCCTTTCAACATCAACATCACCATCACCACCATCAGCAGCAGCAGCAGCAGCAACAACAACAACAACACCATCAAAGGCTACAAAGCCAGCTTAATTATCCAGGGCCAATGCAGCAGGAGCTACAGGAAATGTTTAGATTCGAGCAGAATACGCCTCTGGAGCCAGGGATGATAGAGCCGCGGGTGCCGATGAACCTGTACGATCCGAATTTTCTACGCAGAGAGCGGAGTGTTCCTGGCATACCTGGTATGGGTGGCATGGAAGGCGAGTTGGTTGCCCAAATTCAAGAACAGCAGCAGCGTACGCGAGCGGAACGTCAGAATAACTTACCAGGATTTCTGGATCCTTCGGAGGGTTTATCGGATATGGAACGTTTCCGGCGGGACGCTTTCGACCTTCGACAGGTTCAAGAAAGACAGCAGCAAGTGGAGGCAGCGGCTGCAGCGCGAAGGCTAGAGGGTATGGAGGGTAGGCCGAAGAGCGGGGAGAGGAGAATTGCTGGTCAAGTAGATGCTCCGGGTAACAATTCCTTGCTGCCTGCGCTGAGATGGCCCATCATCAACAACGAAGGCTCTCAAAATCAGGAGATGATGCATGAACGAAATATGTTTCCTCCATCTTTGGGATTGTGGAGTCAAGAGAGCCACGATTATACCGGCACTGAGCAACAATTGCAGGGCGTTTCTCGCAGCGGGACATTGATGTCAGAGCATGTTCCCGTTGCGGCCACACCCAGTGGAGTCGAAACCCCTCGTTCATCGGTTGCCAGCACTCCACCTGAGGGTTCACACTTGCTGGGGAATTGGAATTTGTCTAGTCTCCATTTGAATGAATCTTCAGCAAATGTCCAAACTACAGACGTTAAAGGCCAGGTAAGATCAGCTGCTTCACTGACTCAGCTCGGATGGAAAGCTGCAGCGGTTCCAAAAGCGAATTCTCTTGCAGAGATCCAGGAAGAGGAAGCCGCGGTCAAGAAGCCTGGAGAGCAGGTGACAGTTGAGGCAGTAGATCAGCCTGCGTTCAGTACCGGTGCTGGGTCTGTAGGATTGGGACTACGGGCTCAACCTTCAGTGTCTCAACCGAAGTATTTGCGAGAGATTCAGGAGAAGGAGGCTCAGAACGCTGGGCAGTTGAAAGACGGTTCACCGGCTGTTCAGAAAGTTCCTATGAGCCGAGTAGTGGATCCTCCAGCTTGGGGAACAGTGTCTGCTATCACCGAGAGAGGCAGCTCGTTGTTCGAAGCAGATGACGAGCGAACAGCTGCGCAGGTTGGCAGGAAGGTCAGCGAGGCGGAGGCCAGCATCGTGAAGGAGGCATCTGTGAGTCAATCTGGTCAAGTATCGGCGCAGAGCACTACTGGTTTTGATGACAGCGACTTCATCGAACCGAAGGAATCTAAGAAGAACAAGAAGCGGGCGGCCAAAGGAAAGAGCTCCACTCCCGGGAAAACGGCGGGTGGCTTGACGAGCGAGGTGTCGCAGGCGGCGTCTCCACAAATATCCAGCAAGAGCACAGTCGTAAGGTCGGTTCAGGTGGAGTCAGTAGAAGAGAACTTACCAGCCCCACCTTCGGGGCTGTTGCTGGCGGATTTCCTGACTTTGGGAAATGAACCTGTCGTCAGTACGCAGCCTCTTCCGGCATGGTCATCGACACCCGCACGGCTAGCGAAAATGGGGAAATCTTTATCTCTGAAGGAGATTCAAGAGGCGGAGCAGAGAGCTCGCGAAGAGCAGGAGAGACAGAATCAGATGCTTCAAGCATCACTGACTCAGAAGAACTCTCTCCCTCCGTCAGCGAAACCCAACACTTTGATGACGAGGAGCGGAAGTGGAGGCGCCGCATGGCAGCGTCCAGGAGTGCTGAACTCTTCTGCTCCAGTGGTGGCAAGTGGGCAACATTCAAAGGTCCCAGCAAGCAGTGGTAGCGGCAATTCTCGATCGAAGGTTGGCGTGTTTGAAGATGACGACGACTTGTTTTGGGATTACGGCCAGGACGCGAAGCTGAGCACCGGACCTGTGAAACAGATAACAAAATCTGAACCGTAAGTAATCAAGCTTCTAGTTTATTGCCTGAAAAGATTGTAAAATGGCAAATGGAATAGAGCCGTAGAGTGCTATGTATTAGCCTGGGGCAATTATCTGCGGTGTTCAATGCCGAGAGAAGTTGTTCGTAAATTGAAGTAGGCGTTGAGTCATGGTATTGGCATTTTTTCCAGGTTGGATTTTCCATCGCTGTTGTCTGGACAAGGACAAGGACAGGCGAACAAAGTCATAGTCTCGAAACCCGCAGCAGCGACAGCAGCAGCTCCGGCGTTTCGTCAGGTGGCAATTGCGAGAACGAGTCCGACGGATTTTCCGTCTTTGAGTGCGACGGCAGTATCTGTGAAATCTGCTCCAACGAAGGGGAAGAAGCAAGCAAGTTACAAAGGTACCAGGCTGTGACGTTCTGTATGTTCCGAAGCGTTAATGAGAGTGGAACTGGTTAAATGTACTGGTTTATTGGCATAGCATCCCGGAGTTTTGAAGTTTGAAGGTCTTTGTGGGTTGTTCTGATTAATGGAGGGTTTGATATAATTTCTCAAAGGTGATGGCTTGATTATCGGCGGTGGAAGGTAATTTTAAAGTTTCAGCGTTGCCCTCGGGGTCTGGCGTTTGTCGATGAGCTGGTCGATAGCGGATGAATTTTAATGACGAGGTTTACATGTTATCCCCGTTTATGTTCATTGACACTAGTCTTTCGCGATGATTTGGCAGTGACAGGGCCACAAGTGAGTGCCGAAGTGAAGGCATTGAGACAGTGGTGCGAGAATCAATTAAAGAAGCTGAGCTTGAACGAAGGTAATGATGAGTGCCATGGGGTATGTTAGTGGTGATGTGGGAGGAAAGTTTGCGACTTGAATACAAGGTGAGTCCTCATGCGTGGACTTCGGTGTGTTTGCGTGTGCAGATGTAACAAACTTGGACTTTTCTATAGTAGATTTCTGCATATCACTGCCTTCGGTCAGCGAGGCGAGTGATTACCTTTCACAGTACCTGGGAACTCTACCAGGAGTGACGCAGCAGCACATCCAGTCATTCAAGAAGGAGTTTGTCCGTCGCAAAGAGCAATTGCCATCGGACGGCAATGTGTCTTCGAGCGACCGCGAAGATACGGATGCTTTTTTCAGTTCAAATGGTAAGAAGGTAGATCGGAGCAAATCCGGAACCATGGACATGGCTCGTTTGTTGAAGGAAGACACAGGATCAGGTGAGTTGGAGAGCACCGCAAGTCCAGGGAGTGGAAAGAAAAAGAACAAGAAAGGTAAGAAAGTGGTGGATCCATCGTTGCTGGGATTCAGCGTGACGAGTAACCGCATCATGATGGGGGAGATTCACCACCTTGATGACTAGGTTATGAGTTGTGGAGTGGGGAGAGGGAAAGTGTTGTGGGCGATGGGGATATCCCCGCACATTGAAGATTGATCAGAAGGGCGGGATGGTAGTGAAGTGAACCTGTATGCGAAATGGGGTTCATTTGCGGATCTTTGAAGTAGGCAGATAATAGGGATTTAGAGCGAGGAGAGAGCGTCAATGGTTTAGCCATTTGACTGGATTATTTATATATAGAGATTGGGCGTTTCGGCGGTGTCGTGGAGAGGATAAGTGGGCCTTTTTCTCAACTCCTGACGGTGAAGGGCGCTCGGCCAGTTGACAAATGAGGTCAATATAAGTGGCGGAACAGCAGGTCTGTCACGCGGTGGTTAGGAAGGTGAGGTGCGATTTGTTAGCTTTCTGTAGCTTGTAGGGCCTCGGAACTGCCTATTTTTAAGAGCAGAAGAGTAGCAATTGGACATGAAAAGAGCATGTAAATTTGGAGTTTGTAGTGACCCCGTGACGAGGGTGGGAAAGGTTATTTCATTTTTTGCACTAGAAGCATGTAATGTAATTGACTGGACACATGTGTCTGTTATGGAGTATTCAAGGAGGTGCTTTTGTATTCGGTGCACTATCCGAGATAAAACTTTTGTCCTGTATGTTGTGCAGGATGTTTTGAGGAATGTGACCGCAAAACGTTTGTCTATATTAAGAATGATATGTCGCAATTAAACTGAAAACTATCGTGGAGAATGTTAAACCATAACTTGAAGTGTGTGAAGCAGATGAGAGTGATTGTCGTGAGAAGGAGAGTCACGTAAATTATTTGGGTATTGTCTCAATGTTTCATTATGCCATGGTACTCATACATAAACCTTGTAAAGATGAAACGAGACCCGACGTACACGTATATACCAATAGCTTAATGGTAGACCAATTTGTCACTTCACATCATGTGTCAACTCCTTGATGCACAGACATATGACGTAACTGTCGAGTGCATATCAATAATCGATTGCTTATCTGAATAGCAATGTCCTAACACATACACACATGTATGTATTTGTAAATATTTACTGGTTTGCCGAGCACGTCTTCGAATAATTGAGTAATGCAATTGTCCCATTACGGCTTCCTTAAGAAATACGGATGTCCACAACTGTACAAATTTTTCGAACCCTAACAAATCCAGCTCTGTGATGTGTCGTGTAATTTTGTTAATGTAATCATTGTTGTTTTGAATTGTGTAAATTTGCCATGTCTATATAACTTTCAAAACTTGTTAATAGAATTACATACCTGTTCACGTCTTCATTGCTTGTGGAAATGTAAATAATCCCCTTCTTTACAAGAATTGTTTCACTAATGACGTCTTTGGCTTAAATTGTTATATTTTGTATGCAGTATTATTGTTTGGATGTTTTGATTAATAGTTTAATACCACACAAACAATACAGTCATGTATTTTAGGGAATAAAAAATAAGGTGTGATATATGATATTGGGATTTTGCTTTTCTTGAGCAATACCTATTTTACTCATATTTATAATAATTACACAAAAAAAATTGCAATATATGTTATTCTTCTCAAAAATAAATATTGTTTATTTTTTCATTTTGTAGCTACAATTGAAAGTCAAAATTGGATTTTCAACTAACACACAAATTTTGTGATTAGAAATCATAATCATGGTTTGTGAGGAGAATATGATAACATAGTTTTAATGCATTTGGTCCATCATTATATCTAATTGTTGTTATTTTTTCCAATTTTTCTTTTGATTTCTATATATTTAAGTTTGATATTCGAAATAAAATCAATACAATTATTTTTTCCAACTCTTGTCGTGAATAAGTTTATGAGATTGGTTATCTAAAAGGAATAAAGATCATAAGGTTGAAAATGTGTATTCAAGCTATATTTACTTTTGGAGAAATTGTAAAACAAGCATTGCAATATTGAAGGGATTATTGATGAAGTATAAGTTAAAAAGACGTGACGTACATAAAATAATATTATGAGAAAAAGAAAAAAAGGAAAATAAAAATAAAAATACAGAAACGTAGAAAGCAAGGAAGTATCAACCTTACAAGATGGAAAGTTTCATATTCGTGCTAAAACCCATTTAGTCCCCACCGTGTGTTGGGCACACAACCAAAATTTCTCCCCCCTGCCCGGGCCCCCCTGCCCTACAGAAACCTTTGGCAGAGGTAAGGGGAGGCGATGTGGATAGAGCGTCGGAGGTTGGGGCTTCCGCGGCACTGGGGGGAGAGTGAGGGAGAAGAAGAAGAGGACGAGAAAGAGGAGGAGGAGGAAAGAAGAGTTGGAAAACGGAAGACGAAGAACGCAGAGAGAGAGAGCGAGAGAGAGAGATCGAGAGAGAGTGGAAGTCAGGAGAGCAAGTGCTACATTTGTGTTGTGGTTGGTGCTGCTTGCTTGCATCAGGCAATCAGCATTCCCCGCATTCCCTTCCCCTTTCCTTTCATGGATTGGTGGGGCTCAGTGCTCCCCCGACTCCCCCCAAGATGAGCTTGCTCTCCATTCTATCGCCATCGTGACCACGCTCTCAGGATTCGGATTCATATGCTCATGCGTCTCCCTTCCCCTGTCCAGATTTGTTGTCGTTTTTAGGCTGTGCTTAGGGGTTTGTAAATTCCTAGTTCGGAGAGGCAGCTCTCCCTGTTGCCTCACCTGGGATTAATCCATTTTGGCCATGGCGAGTTTCTCCTCGTCGCTGCTGTGGACCACCAGGCTGCCCTTGCATTGCCCGCCACTGTCGTCCTCGCATAACTCCCTGCTTCTGCTGCGCTTTCGCGCTCCATCAGCTCGGTTGGGACGCCTGCCTGCCGCTGGTTGGAGAATTGGTGGAAGTAGGGAGAGGAGCGGGTGCAATGGGAACTTTTCGCGCTGTTTCTCGACTGGGCGGCCCACGTTCCGAGTTTCTGGTGCGGGATTGGTCGAATTCGAGGTCTTAGTCATTGGCTTTTTGACACTGTTTTGAGTTTTTTTTGATTGTTGGGGAATTGTGAGGTGGATTGCAGTGCGAAAACAAATATCATGTTTGTTGTGTTGATGGATTATAATGTCCTGCAGCTTCGAGCGAGAATCTGCCTCCTATGGAACTCGGAAAGAATTTCGATTTCGCAAGTGAAGAGCGGCTGTATAATTGGTATGGTGCTTCTTCCTCATGGAGATCGCTAATTGATGGCGACTGCGTTTCTACAGAGATATGAATAGATTATTTGTTTTTCACAGCTGGGGTTTACTCTAGATGGCCACTGGTGCAGGGGTAGAGTCCTGGCTGGGTTGGAAAATAATTTTATTTTGGTGGCTATGGTGGGCAATGGCAGGTGGGAGTCACAGGGGTACTTCAAACCTGATGCAACTGCCGCAGGAGAGCCTTTCGTTATACCAATGCCGCCTCCCAATGTGACGGGTGCTCTTCACATGGGCCATGCCATGTTTGTAACGCTAGAGGTGCGTGTCCAACAGTTTTACAACAAATCCGTGAAATGTATTGGATTGCTTGAATCTGCTGTGGTGCACAAAATTCTTCAGTTTGGTTTCCTGTCTCACTCTAGTGCGACAGGATATCATGGCAAGGTTCTGGCGGATGAGAGGCAGGCCTACACTGTGGATGCCTGGCACTGACCATGCTGGCATTGCTACCCAGGTGCCCGACTGGTCTATCAATTTCTTCATCTTGCTCAAATCCGAATTCCTGTAATCGTTAGAACTTGGGCATCGGATTCTGCATCAATCTGCTGTGTTTTACACCAGATTATGGAGTTGTTTATAGGCACATTCAATGCGAGAATTATGCTCAGTTGCAGTCATTGAGATGGGTATTGTCTCGTCACGTGTGCAGCTAGTGGTGGAAAAAATGCTTACTGCTCAAGGAATCAAAAGAACTGAGCTTGGTCGCGAAGCATTTGTCGAACGGGTCTGGGAGTGGAAAGAGAAATATGGTGGAACAATAACCAACCAAATGCGAAGGTTAGGAGCATCATGTGATTGGAGTCGCGAGCACTTTACTCTTGACGATCAACTTAGTGGTGCGAATCTCCTCGTGCGGCTCTGTGTTCTCATTCTCTGTGCATTAAATTTACCAATTGTTTATCCGAATCAGTTTACTGGGAGTTAAGAGTTTTGTAAACCTGAGGTTTGCGATGTTGTCTTCTTTGGTGTCTTTGCCTGAACGGATTTCCATGCGCCGGATATTGTTTGGTTCGTGTGTTGTCTATCTACTTTCAGCAACCATATAAGGTGTTGGTGATGTGACTATGTGCCGTAGTAACCACGTGTGGAAGTTTAGTGGAATATGAATAAAACGAATAAAAAGGTTATTTTCTTGCAACCTTAGTATTTCTTAACTGAAAATGCTTATAACATCCGGTTAAATGCTATTTTGCTTTTTGAGAGCCACTTATACCCCCTACGATCCTTTTTGGTTATTGTATAACGATATTGTGTGACTAACCGTTTTCGATTAAAGTTTGTTCTTTACCGTGTTTCTATGCACATATGCTTGAATTGCAGCTGCGGTGTTGGAGGCTTTTTGCCGTCTACATGAGAAGGGTCTCATCTATCGCGGTAACATTTCATAACTTACCTATGTTTATGTACTAATCGAGACATATATCATAGTGCACCTCTTAGGGAATGTACCCTTCACTCGCACCAGAGATTGTTTTGATTGATTCGTATATACTTTTCCTCGTTCAGTTGCCTAGTTTCTTTATCACATTCTGTATAAACGTGTGTGTCTGTATAGGTAGTTACATGGTGAACTGGTCGCCACACCTGCAAACAGCTGTGTCAGATCTGGTAATCACGACCTACTTCCAGTTCATCTTGAAGTACTTCTCTTGGATTTATAATCTGCTTCACATGCGTGTGGTGCATGAGCTTTATGTATGGTAATGTGCTGTATTTTCTCCACCAATTATGAGCACGGCATTCCATACCGTCGTAAATATTTTATTGTGATGATTTAGGAAGTTGAATATTCCGAGGAACCTGGCAAACTTTATTACTTCAAGTATCCGGTGGCTGGGGGTTCCAGGTACCTTATCGACAGCTTCTCATTTCCACTCGTATTACTTAAGATTAGCTGTCCGGATATGTGCACTCATCAAAGTGTAGGATAATTTATTATACACATATGTGTATGTGTGTCCTTGCCTGCTTTTGTGGAAGATCTTATTCGACTTAGTATAAATAATAGTAGTTCGAGTGTTTCACGTAGACATTTCGTGAGAAAAGCCAGGATTTCATTTTATATTGGTGATATTTTCTGTTAATAGTGAGATATCATGGATAATCATGAGCTGTTTAATGGGAATTCATTGTGAATTGCTACAAGGTGCAAGCAGTAGACCTAACCAACAGTTATGTTTTGAACAGTGAAGATTATCTGCCGGTGGCCACAACAAGACCCGAGACGTTGTTAGGAGATACTGCTGTAGCAGTGAACCCTGAGGTTTGTCACATATATGTTCTTCTTTGATGTTGCAATAACATTGCATCTCTGTAGTTGCCACTCGAAATGTCTTCTGTACGGTTGGAGATCATTTCACGATCTAAATGATGGCTTTTAATTATAGTGCAAGGCAATGGTATTTGAGTAGTACTTATAATTTGTGTTCGAAGATAGTCTGCATGCTGGTTCGGGTCATTTATTTCTCTCTAGAGCATTGTTGCTGTAAAAATTGAGGTTTTGTTTTGTTTTGTTTTGTTTTGTTTTTTGTTTTTTGTCTTTTTCTCTGGTGACGTGCTGTTGCTACTGTGTCCCATTTATTTTTAAATCCAGTAATTTGGCATCCTTGTATGTCTTTCAGGACGAGCGCTATCAGAAGTATATAGGCAAAATGGCAGTTGTGCCTCTTAGCGGAGGGCGCGAGGTCCCAATCATAGCAGATGAGGTATGCAATTAAGTGTTTACATACTTGTGTTATGTAGTATGTGTTTTTTTACTTAAGTGCAGGTTTTTTCGGCATTGATGTCTTCGCATATCTCTTCAAAAATGGATACTTCATACGCTATAGAAGTGATCTCTATTTGGTGATAGTCATTTGATGGACTTCGATCTCCATTCTCTATCATTTTTCGCGTTGTATGCACTCACCGTGGAAGCAACTAACGCTTTACCGTTCATGATGAACAGTATGTAGACAAGGATTTTGGAACTGGAGCATTGAAAATTACCCCTGGGCATGATCCCAATGATTACGCTATAGGCAAGAAGTTGGGGCTTCCGTTTATCAATATATTTAACAAAGATGCCACATTGAATGAGAATGCGGGAGCTTATTGGTATACCTTTCATTTTGTTTTGATCATTTAAGTCAATTCAATGAGCTTATGCTTCACGTGAGGGTCCGGCTTCTAGTCTCAGATTTTCTCGCTCTTGCCATCTTTTTATCATTAAGCTCCTCCGCCTTCCAGCTCTCGTCATGTTTTCTGGTCACATTTTTTGGTTATGCAATTGATGAGCTGAATCATGTTTTTGCGGACGATCCTTGCAGTGGTATGGACAGGTTTGAAGCAAGAACGAAGCTTTGGGAGGATTTGGAGAAATCTGGACTTGCTATTAAAGCAGAGCCGTATACTTTGCGGGTTCCTCGATCTCAACGAGGTGGTGAGGTTGGCCATCTTACAATCTCTCTTGCATATATCTTTGTCACTCAATTTGGAAGCTAGACTTGCTTAAAACTTTCTGCATCCGCTCCTGAGGTTTAGTACCAGAAAATTCTCTTTTTGGCAGATTTTAGTTTTTAGTAAATATCTAATCTCATTAGTTGCTGATATCGTTGTTGATTGCAGGTGGTGGAGCCTTTAGTAAGTAAGCAATGGTTCGTTATAATGCAGCCACTAGCTGACAAAGCTCTTAAGGCTCTCGAAGATGGAGAGCTTCGCATTATCCCTGACAGATTTGAGAAGGTTCTTTCTCGATCTCATCCATTTTTTTATGATCAAGATTATTGGATGAGGGAACTGTTTGTTTTCGATGAAGAGTTTGTGCGAGCTCAAAGTATTTCGGATATGATTCAATGGCATGACAGACATTCTAACATGCTTTGTTTGTGGCACCAGATTTACAACTTCTGGCTTTCGAATATTAAGGACTGGTGTGTGAGTCGGCAACTCTGGTGGGGTCATCGTATCCCAGTCTGGTATGTAGAAGGCAGCGATGAGTCAGACTATATAGTAGCCCGCAGCGAAGAAGATGCATACAAGGCTGCTCGGGCGAAGCATGGGGAGGATGTGAAACTTACTCAAGAATCTGATGTTCTTGACACATGGTTTTCTAGGTATGGACTTTTAATCTGGTGTTTGATAGAATTCTTCGTCAGACAATTCAGACAGACATCGATCATTTACTACCGCAAAGGGAATCGAAATGAGTGCCTGTGATCAATTAAGTAGGTCCTGCAGAAGTTGTGAATTAGGGGGTTGGAGTCTGAAGTTACCTTTCTGTTTCTTATATTCTTTTCTCTTAAGCGCCTTGTCTACTGTTGAGGCTCACTTGTGAAAATTCTCCTGCAGTGGTCTGTGGCCTTTCAGTACCTTAGGATGGCCAAATACTTCTGCGGATGATTATCAGCGATTTTACCCCACAGCAGTGTTGGAGACTGGGTAAGCTTTTCAACGTCTTAAATGCATGTTGTCAGTTTGTTTTTGGACTACTTACAAAAAGAACACCTCTGCTTATTGAACTTACACTCAACTATCCATCCATGGTCGTTCATAAACGCAGGCATGATATCCTCTTCTTTTGGGTGGCAAGAATGATCATGATGGGTATTGAATTCACTGGGAAGTTGCCCTTTTCAACTGTTTATCTTCATGGACTTGTCCGTGATGCTCAGGTTGGTATAGCTTTTTCTTCCAGCTGTTGCCTCCTATGATGTTTCTTACTAACTTCACTTATAAATTGGTTCTTGTCGAATATCTTCTAGTTTTCTTCTATGAATAAGGTCCAAATGCACTAAATTAAAATTTTATGGTCTGTAGGGTCGTAAAATGTCAAAATCGCTAGGCAACGTAATTGACCCCTTGGACACCATCGAGGAGTACGGTACTGATGCGCTCCGTTTCACACTGGCCACTGGCACTACCCCTGGTCAGGTACAATTTTTTACAATTAGTAGTGGTTCAAGTAGACTGTAGTGGGCTTTGGTCATATTTATGAAGTTTTCTGTTTGTCACACATTCACTGAACCTAATGGCAACTGTGTATTGCTAAGAGCTTGATATCGTTGTTGTCACTGTTATTCTGGGAAAAAGTTTTTCCAAAATTGCACGAGGGCATGCTTTTGATTTTACAAATTGACACATGCAACTGAAGTTGACGTGGACAAAACAGTCGTGAAAGAGATGTTTCTCAGGAGCATGTTATGCTTTTTTGTTTTGTTTAGGACGTAAATCTTTCAATGGAGAGGTTGACATCCAACAAAGCTTTCACCAACAAGTTGTGGAATGCTGGAAAATTTATTTTACTCAACTTGCCACCAACATCTGACACATCCGCATGGGAGCACATCCGAGAGCATGAGGTAGACATGAGGGACATCTAATTCCAGCAGTTATTGCAGTCAGTCCTTTTTTGTGACACCCAAACTTCTCTACATTTTGACAGCATACATCATGAAGTGTGCTGTAGGGTAGATCTGGACATTAACTCCCGAAATGTTATTGTTTCTTTCTGCAGTTTGATACCGAAGCAGGAGTGGCTAGCCTCCCTTTATCCGAGCGCTGGGTGGTAAGTAATTATCTCGAATGCCCATCTTTGCAGTTTGGACCCTTCCCGGTGCATTGTCGTCGAAGATAATTGTAGGGTATGTACCTTAAATTTTCTGACAATTTATCATTCATTAACAATGTAGCTAAAACATCTGTTGGATTTTTTATGCAGGTGTCAAAGCTGCATGAGCTAGTTGACTCTGTCACTACTGACTACGAGAAGTATTTTTTTAACGAAGCTGGAAGGGCCATCTACGATTTCTTCTGGAGTGATTTTGCTGATTGGTATGAAACTATTCAGTTTTTAAAATTTTGGTATAACGTGTTCTGATTCTTTTAATTGCTTTCATTAACGTGTATTATGGGTGGATTTGTGAACATAAAGCCTTTTTGGTCGTCATGGGAAGATTTGAGACGTGTTCTTTAACTTAAAAGCATCACAGTAGGGGCATTATCCTCGTTTACTGTATATTTCCGTGGAAATAACTACTTACAACTCTTATGACCTCGGTTCGTGGGTCAGGTACATTGAAGCAAGTAAAACTAGACTCTACAAGAACGAGGATGTAACGTCCTTGTCAAGGACTCGGGCGGTTCTATCTTATGTGTTTGAAACCGTGTTGAGATTGCTTCACCCCTTTATGCCGTTTGTCACTGAAGAGCTTTGGCAGGTGAACTGGTTACATTACTGAAAGAGATTTTCGTATTCAGCTTCCCAATCTTGCCGGATCTTTTGCTGGACATGCATGTAGTATTGCAGCTCGTTCTGCATGATAAAATCTTTTAGTCAACTTCTAATCTTGCGATGTTTTCGACTAAAACTTTGTTGGATCCTTCGAGAAGAATGTATTTTCTTATCAGCTATGATTCTTTAGACTTACGTTGGGATGTGCTCTTGGGTTGGTTTATGTGTAGGGTATGCCGCATGAAGGTGTAGCTCTAATTGTGTCATCATGGCCTAATCGTGGCCGTCCTAAAGATTTGAAGGCTTTACAAGACTTCGATTCCTTGCAGTCTCTGGTATGATAATTGCAAGCAATAGACACACTTATAGAATGGCTTAAATAATTAAGCATATTACGTTCGACTCCGGAATTATAATTCCCGTAGCACTTACAGAGTTTCGGCTCTTTCTAGTTTGTTTGACGGAGGTACTTCATTTATGCATCATAATTGATCATCTTTAACATGAGAGAAATGATGGGCAGGTGCGTAGCATCAGGAACGCTCGAGCTGAATACTCTGTGGAACCAGCCAAGCGCATCTCCGCATTTATTGTAGCCAGCTCTGCAAATCAGACTTTCATCGAGGTGTGACTTGAGACTCCTCGTTGGCGAAACATTCCTCCTCCTTTACTTGTTTACACCATCGTCTGGCTCAACCTGTTCCTCGATGCATTCACTATTTTGTTCATTAAATAACGAGAGACTTCTATGCAACTATTTGTGTTTTTCTGACCCTGTCACATTTCTTGAGGATGTTCTGCAGGAAGAAAAGGCTGTACTGGTGATGCTTTCAAGGCTTGACCCTGACAGTGTTAACGTAGTCTCTTCGCCTCCAGGTATGATATCCGTTTGCATTGGAGTGGCATGTTTAGGGAATTAGTCTTAGCGCGCATTCTAAATGGCTTTTATATCAGGGGTTTCTGGTAGCACTTACCAGTATTGGGTATGACGAATTTTCTAGAATGTTTTAAGGATGATATTCTGACCACTATTTGATGATGTAACGTAAAATTAATTGGTCCTTTTAATTTATTTATCTATACGTTTAATAGGATCCCTGTTCGCCGACACTTAGCAAGTCAACGATTCCAGAGTTAAGATTTCTCGGATGTTGGGAAGTGAAGTGGTTACCAAGAAAGATCTCAGGTCGAGTGTTTGGTTAGCTCTTTGACATTTTTAGAACTATAATCTGAACATAATGAATTTTGTTTACCTTGCAGGGAATGCAGATCAAGCTGTCCATCTGGTGATTGCGGAAGGTTTAGAAGCTTACTTACCATTAGCTGACTTGGTAGACATCGGGAAAGAAGTCGAACGTCTAAAGAAACAAGCCGCGAAATTGCAGACTGATTACGATTCAAGCATGAAGCGGCTTTCTTCCAGCAAAGTAAGTAAATCGAAACACTCGGTGCGCTTGTGTCATTCTAAACATTCCTAGTAACCATGCCCAATCCCTACGCTTGTTCCATTAGTCCAGCATAGTCTCGTACTCCATGTAATGATCACAAACTAGACACCATTATCGTAGGGAGGTGAAAATTTTCAAAGTTGAAACCTACAAATTATGGTATCCTCACATACTTTACATTTATAATTTGCAAAGTATTTTAGAATTCACTACGATATGCAATTCTTTATTGCCGTCAACTTCTCTTCATCGTTGTGGTACTTTTGGTTTTATAGGCCTAACGTTTGCTACTGTCTTATTTAATAATCTTTTCTCGTATTGAATTGAACGGCTTTGCAGTTTGTGGAGAAAGCGCCTGCAGCAGTAGTGCAAGGTGTAAGGGAACAAGCAAAGGAAGCACAAGAGAAACTCAATATTATAAACTCACGACTTGAGCTCTTAAACTCTATGGCTGTTAGCTCCTCGCAATAAGGAAATCATTTATTCTCATTCATCTTAGAATCTGAATTCCATAATATATTCTGTTAGGGACTGATGTACAACTTCAAAATATTTGTTTCCACGCACATTTCAGTGTGTTCCCTTGTCACTATTAGTGCACACTGAAGTTTGCACCATGTCATTATTTGTCTGACTCAAGTCAGATTTCGGTTTTTAGGGAAGGAATTCGCTACCGAAACTTTGCAAATAGAGGGCAGAGTACGTTTTGTGTCCAGGATCACCTATGTTGTTTGTTTCAATGATGTGGATGACCTGTCATTTGCTCAATTTACGATTTCGTAGATTTTAAAGTCACCGATCTCTTTGCATATAATTTTGACGTGGACATTGGTTTGCAACAACTGAATTTGTTCAATGAGTATCTTGTAATGACGTCAAACATAAAAGTCATTGAAATGAAAACTTCAAAACTGTAACAACATACGAGGAAAATGAATTCCTGTGCCCCTATATACAGTGGAGGTGCATGCAGGCTTATTTACTTGCTGGAGCATGAAAAGGATGGACATGTGCAGCAATATAGTAATGCTTGTGTGAACCTGGATATCAACCTCGCCTTCTTTAACAAAAAACGCTCCGAACAAACCCAGTTCTCAGAGAAGCAGTTGCAGCAGCAATACCCGCATTCTTCCGACAGAAGTTGGTCTCAGATTGAACAGAACTGCTTCTCAAGGTGATCCTGAATCGATCTCACTGCAGCTTCAGGATCCTGCCTTCACCAAGGTTCATGGAGGACACGGTCTCTTGTTGTCATCGTCATGAGGAGGCTTGTGAGGTGGCTTTTCGTCATCGTGAGGAGGCTTATGAGGAGGCTTTTCGTCATCGTGAGGAGGCTTGTGAGGAGGCTTTTCGTCATCGTGAGGAGGCTTGTGAGGAGGTTTTTCGCCATCGTGAGGAGGCTTTTCTTCATCGTGAGGAGGTTTGTGTGGAGGCTTATCACCACCAAGAGAAGACTTGTGAGGATGCTTGTCACAGTGGTAGAATTCCATGTCGGGTTCAGAAGGCTTCGCCCACTTCTCATACGCTTCCACCAGCGTTCGCCCTTCTACCGCTCCACCGTCTCTGGCGAAGTTCGTAACTGCCAACACCAGAGCCACTGCAATGGCCAGGGCTTGATCAACTTTCACCACCGCCATGCCTGACCGACTGATAGGTTCCTGCTACGATTGAAATTTTGAAGTGAGTTCAATCAGCATTTAAAAGTTCAGTTGCAGTCAACATTTACAAAACTAACAAAGCCTTCCATTGAAGTTCTAGCTAGTCGATCATGTTAGCACGCACACAAGTGATGCATCCAGGATGTAGTGTCAACAAAATTAAATAAAGTAGAAAATATAAATAGAAAAAGACGACGTAGCGTCAAATGCTAATGAGAGTTGAGTGACTTGAAAACAAAAATTGAGACGAGGCAGAAGTGGCAAGAGCTGGAACTACCACCAAGAATGCAAAAACTGGCTAGGATGCAAAAACTGGCAGAGCGAGATAACTTGATCAGTTTCAGAGCAGGAAGCATTTTATGGATGTGGGGATAGGTGATGGGGTCGAGCAACTGATGACGAGAACACATAAGTGTGTAAAATATCAAATTTCCTGTTGATGTGAGATGCCCTCTTGCAGTCACAACCTGCAGGTTTCGTGTAAGGCAGTACAAACACGCAGTGTACAACAAGGAAAGTGACGTGCACCTGGCCCTTTGGAGATTCATGGAGCTGCAGTCACTGTGGTATCAAGAGCGAGGAACTCAAGGGAGCACGGCTAATGCCGTCGCAGAGTTGGATTGCAGATAGAGAGGCAAGATAAACAAGACAGAAAGCAAAGTGATTAATTGAAAAGACGCGCTTAAAGCTGCCATGACTGGTAGCCACAAAAAACATGTTAAAAAAGTGAAAAAGACAAGCGTATTCTGATTCATCTCCACCCAAATTAAGCTGATTCATGTCCAGGCTTCATGTTACAGTCTACGCCCCTGATTCTTAATGTTGATATATTTGAAGGTAGACCATGCCTTGAGCTGTGATGAATGCATACACTGGAAATGGATTTCCTGGCGACCATTAGGCAGAACACCGTTCTCTTTACTAATGGTTGCCTGGAAATCCATTTCCAGTAGGCCCCTAATTCACCCATCACTATGCAATTTAACAACCTTAAAGGCAGGGCAAGATTAGACGGACGTAGAGGATTGTAGCCACATGGAAAGGACTCAACTTCGACGTTTGACAGTTCGTTGACATCTATTCATCTGCCTCCATCCAGTCCCCTCGCGGTCCAGACATATCGAGCTGTTTCAATAGAAACCGCAGACTGGTCGTTCACGAAAGCAGATTGGCATTTTCGGTTCCAAAACCGATGCACATGATGTAACAACGATGCCCCATAATGAAGAACTTGCCAGCTTGGAAGTGGGTCTCATTGACCACCAAGTCCCTCTGGCTTCCTTCCTCACAGCACCACAGCAGATCATAGCTTCAGCTGCGAAACATCCCATTAACGGACGTCACAAAGCTTGTGTCTCTCAGTATATCAGCATGACACCAAATTCAACCTCAGCTGTGTGCACATGGGTCGGTAAATCCTTCACTGCAGTGTGGCTTTGCAGTCCCTTTCGACGTATTCTGGGCTAAGATGCAGTTTAAATATCCATTTCATACTTCAAAGAAACTGTTTAAAGACAAGCTGAAGATTATGTTATGGTAAATATGCTCTTCATTACAATGTGAGTATACATAGTTTTGAACACATTCTGAGCTAGGCCGCAACAGATATCCATGTTTTACTTCGGAGATGCTTTTCGAAGTTCAGTCATGACAGGACTGTGTGATAAGCAACTGCAGTCCATCATGTTGAGAATTCACGGATCATCTAGATCGATCTCGCTTCTGTCTGTTTGATGCTGTAAACTGCACAGCATTTTGCTAGATTCTTGTTGCAATGATATATCGATACCATGTTGCGCTGTTTCTAATTAGGAAGGTTGGATGATTATGATTTTGATGTCACCGATTCCTTGTATGAATTTAAATAATTTGAATTACAAATTTGTAAAATCAGTTTTATAGGTTTTTCTTATCAATGGAGCACCATTTTAGATGTTACAAAGATAGCCAAAGATATCTATTAATTCTTTAAGATATCACTAATCAATATATAATTATAAAAATTATAATAGTAATTTATGTTTTATTTTTTGCTTATTTGGTATATTTGTTAATATAAATATATAAAAATATATATATTTGTTAATATTTGTTACTGATACTTGCTTACAAAACTTGATATAATTTAATTGTGCAATATACAAAAACCTTGGTGTAGTATATCATATTATAAACAACAAAAAGATTTGTAATTTTTTTGTATTATATGCATAATTATAATGAGTATTATAAAATCTTAAAAATATAACATAAAAAAGAAGATAACATATTTAAATCAAAGATATATTAATAAAATGAGAGTCTCAAAATTGATTAAAATATACTATAAATATATTTTTCTTTTTGGTCTTTATATTGAACTTACTTAAATACATAAATATTTGTAGAGATTTTGTGTTTTAATATTCTTGATGGTATAAAATTCTATTGTAGAAAATAAGAGTACATGATCTTGTAGAAAAAATTATTTATGATTTTTATAAATATTTAGAATGTATTTTGATTATATATATATATATATATATATATATACAGGCATATTTTATTTTTATATTTTTTTCCACTAAATTTTTTAAGAGAGTCATGACATGCTTCTATTTTCATAAAGTTGCATCAATTGGGTTTTTTTAGATAGATTTGTATAGAAGAATGTTAAATAGACATATGCTTTCACAAAATACATCCACCCCTGATGAAAAATTTGATAATCATAATGAATGTGGTTGGTTTTTATTGGTTGCAAATCTAATCTAATAGTGGAGAAATAAATTTAGAGGTCATTTTTTTTTAATTTTATGATAGTTAGAATGGGTGGGTTGATTTAGTAAAAACCTGGGGTCTATTTAACATCCCCTGTGTATATATATATATATATATATACATACAGTTATACATATATACACATGATAGGATTATTCAATTTGATTTCAAAAAAATTCTACCCCACGTAGGGCATATCGTGACCTATGTAATTTCGAGTTAAAAAAATACAAATGGCAAAAAGAATATGAACGAATGATAAAAAAAAAACCGGGCGAAAGTTGAAGTGTTGGGAGTTGGGGGGGGGGGGGTTGCAGAGCAGCAAGCGGGAAGTTTGAAACCCTAAACCCCCAAACCAGGCATCGCATGTTGGGTGCATCGTCCACGTCCTCGTGCCTTCGGTTGCAGCCCATTCGCCCTTCTCCTCACATTTCGCCATTGTCGAGGAGGTTGTTGGTCTCTCGCTGCTGTTGTTTGTTTGTTTGTTGTGCATACAGACAGAGAGAGGGTGTGTGTGTGGTGGGGGGAGAGTGCGCTGAGTTTGTATGTGAGAACAACAGTAAGAGGGAAGAGAAGGAGGCTCTTGCGTCCCTCTCCATGACGACGCGCATCACGCCCGGTGTGGGTGCCAACCTCCTTGGCCAACACGCCGCTGAGCGTAACCAGGATGCGACCGCTTACGTCGGCAACCTCGACTCTCAGGTGTCTGTCTGGTTTGCGCCTCTTCTCGTCATGAATTTACTACTATCAGTCTTCTTTCTCCTGTGGAACCCGCTTTTGGGAATAGCCACTCGGCTATTAGCTGGGTATGGTAGGATTGGGCGAGCTCGTTTTGTGCGATTGTTTGACAGGGGAAGATAGATTACGTTCGACGGGGTTTTTGTTTCGGATCGTGGGTTTCGCATCGGAATGGATTGGCCGTGAGCTGGATTTTGAACATGGCTTATCAAGTATATTGGCTGTAGCATGGTGTTGAAAGGTTTTTTTTTGCCTTAGGGCTTTTTAAGGATGTCATTTCAGCCAATAATGCTGGGAGATTCCGCAGCATAGGATGTATGAGCGACAGAGTATTTTTTTGCATACAGAAGATTTAAGAAGTAAATCTTGTGTCTGAAATCGCACCTTTCTTTTGAACACATCCTGAGGGGGCATGTTTTTAAAAGTGATCATGTTTGAGTGGCGAAGCTAATTCTCAGTTTTGCCTTCAACGGAGCAGGTTTCGGAAGAGTTGTTGTGGGAGTTGTTCGTGCAGGCTGGACCCGTAGGTTAGTGATTCCTACTCCTTGGCTCTCTTCCGATGTACAGGAACGCGCGAAATTCAATTTGTATATTCCATCAGTATGATCATTTGAATGATAACGAATAGGGTTTGATATTTTGAATTAATGTTTCTGTCCAATATCGTGCGCACTGATTATATGTATACGATTTCCTGTCGCTCCTCTTTCTTTTTGTTACGAGAGCTGCGTAACCTGTTTCGAAATTTGTATTGCTTTTTGGTCATTATAGTCTGATATATGATTTGTGTAACTGGTTGGGACAGTTAATGTATATGTACCGAAGGACAGGGTCACTAATTTACACCAAGGTTATGGATTTATCGAGTTCCGAAGTGAAGATGATGCCGATTATGTAAGTACTCTGACATCTTATTTTCCTGATTTTCCATTATGCGTTGCTGAGTACTGATATATATATATATATCAGTTTTTTAATTTCTTTGAGCACTAATAAATATCTGGAAACCGATCGCAGGCTATCAAGATCTTGAACATGATCAAGTTGTATGGAAAACCTATTCGAGTAAATAAGGTGAGCTATAGTAAGCGTGCGTTACATCCTATGGTCTGACCTTGCCACAGAATGGGCAATAAACAAGTGTTTTTAAGCATATAGGGCTGGCCAGATTGATATGTGGTTAGGCAAGTTATGTTTCAAGCACTTTTTCATTTTATTTTTATTTTTGTTTTTGTTGTTTATGAATAAAACTGGCTTATGTTCTGTTCATGAAACTTGAAGCAAGGTCGGCGACTGCTTGTTGATTGAAGGTCTGTCATTGATGCAGGCGTCTCAAGACAAGAAGAGTTTGGATGTTGGTGCGAACTTGTTCGTGGGTAACTTAGATCCTGTAAGTCACACTAATGGTTACTTTGTTCTAGGAATGAAACAGTGTTATTTCTGGTTTTAGGTTAGACCTGTCTTACTTATCTGCAGCCTATGTTCGTGGATGTTCTAATGAAAGTGAAGCCTAGTGCTTCAAAATCTCGAGAATGAGCCCATGATTTCCCTTGGCTGTGCAGGATGTGGATGAGAAACTATTGTACGATACTTTCAGTGCCTTTGGCGTGATAGTCACAAACCCTAAGGTATGGTTATCATCTTGCGTTTGTGGGGGTTTGGATGTGTAGTCTGCGCGCTTGTTCGCTCCCCTAAGTAATTTTGAGGTTTTTAGACTATGTATTTATCCAGTAATAAGATAAGGATAAAAAACGTACTGCCGATTCAAAATTTTGGTGGAATTCAGATCATGAGGGATCCAGATTCTGGTAATTCGCGAGGATTTGGCTTCATCAGCTACGATTCGTTTGAAGCTTCAGACTCTGCAATTGAGGTAAGCTTGATGGATGCCAATTTCGTACTTTTTCTTTATTGAAATAGGGAAGACGATTTTTTGGGTCAAGTGAGTGTCTTGTAAATGACTCGAGTAGAGCACGGCATAAGAACAGGAACCGCTAGGTTTTCATCAGTAGTGTTCGAATTGTGCAGGCCATGAACGGGCAATATTTGTGCAATCGGGCTATCACTGTCTCCTATGCTTACAAGAAAGACACGAAAGGTGAACGTCACGGGACACTTGCAGGTGTGTATTCACTTCACCTAACCTGTTTATTCATAATGTCTACTTTTGTACTCGACTTTTATTTATTTTTGGCGGGATTAGATCCTGCTGAGGTATTTACGAAATGCCTTAATGTTATTATCTGCCAAAGTAGATTGTAACCTTCTTGAGGCTCCAACTTGGCAGAGCGCATGTTGGCATCTAGCAATCCCAACACAACGAAAAGTCGACCACACACTCTGTTTGCAAGTGGACCTCCATCATTGGTTGGTCCTCCACAACTTGGGCAAGGTCTTCCTCCTGCTCCTCCTCAAGCTAACGGTAACATGGGCATGCCCATGAATGGGCACATGCACCCCCCACCATTCGCTGGTGGCCCTCCGCCAATGCCTCCTCCTCCACAAGGGAAGATGATGCAAGGTCAGCCAGCACCCCCACAGGGCTACGGGGGTCCTATGCAGCAACCGCAACATCTCACCCAGGGTTCTCATCAAATACAAGGTGGTCAAGGTCCACCCCTTCAATGGGGAAATCAGCCTCAACAGATGATGCAGCAACAAGGCATGCCTCCACAAGGGATGCCACCTCCGCAATTCAGACCTGGTCCTCCAGGTTCACGTCCTCCCAACATGCCTCCACCTCCTCACGGTTTTCATGTTGGCCCACCGGGGGGCCCTCCACCTATGGGTATGGGAGGACCCCCTCCTTGGGGCAGAGGGCCGCCACCACAGGGCATGCGTCCACCTCCACCAGGCATGCAGCAGCAGCAACAGCAGCAGCAACAGCAGCAGCAACAACAGCAGCAGCAGCAGATGAATCAACAACAGATGCAACAAGGTTTGCCTCCACCTCCCCGAGGTCCTCCTGGTATACCCCCACCTCCTCCAGGTAGCATGATGGGAGGTTCTGGTGTGCGGCCACCTCCGCCACCAGACAGCCAGGGTAGATAGAAATCCAGTGTAGGTAGGCTATTCCTTTAGAGAGTACTGTAGTAAATTGTGAGAGCAATGTGGAGAATGTCTTGTAGTTTCTTACGGGATATGGTTTTGGCTGCACCATGTGAAGTAACTCTTAACCTTGTACCACTTCGGGCTACGACCTTCAGTGTACATCTCAACTCATTCCGAAATTTAAAAATGAGTCTGCGGTGTGTCCAGCATGGGGTTCATTAATTGCCATGTGGTGTGTGACTTGAGTGATGATTGTGGGTTTTTAGATTGTGTAGCAATGGGCTATCGAGAATTGGCAAACATTTCCTTAGTTTGTGTTCTATTTGACATCACCTCTGCCGCAAGTCGCAACGGTACAGGAAATGGCCCGCGGGCTCGACTCGAATCTCTCAATTGTTTCCACGGTCCTTATAACGTTAGTTTGGAGCAGAACTTGACCAACCCACGCAATGACAATGAGATATCGTCTACTTTCTTTTCCAAGTCTGGTTTTCTCTACTAGCGATTCCGCAGTTAATTCAAGACATCAAGGGTAATTGTGTGGCGTTGAATCACACCAACAATCCTCATTCTATACACCCAAAAAGTGCAATTTAGGTTTCGTCTGGGTGTTTTTGTCAACAGGGTTTTGAGGTTCAGATGAACAAAAACAACGATTGTAGGTTATTGGTCCCATCAAAACAAATGTATCAATGAAAAATAAGAAATCATGGTCTCTTCAAATAATGTGTATTTTCATCATACATTATAATTCAATAAAAACATATTTATTTCTTGGTAAATATTATTTCTTTCGATGAATTAAAATTTGAGAGTATTATTCAATTCAAAATTGTAAATAACGCACTTCGAAAATAATGCAAAGAAAAACTGATTACAATTTATGTTTTTGATTACTGTTTCTTGCTTCAAGCAAATGGAACATTCTTTGTACAAACAAAAATGAAAAAAATGTGTTGTGTAGTTTTCAATGAACAAAATTAACTAGAGGATCGAAAATACTTTTACCAAATAAATAATAATCCAAAGCCGATCTATAAAATTCCAATTCATTATGAGGGAAAATAGCACGCACAAACCTCTTGCTATTTCAGCATTTATATATATCTATATATATATTTATAGAAATTCATTCTTGACCTTAAAAGCATCCACTACCAGCCACACACAACTTGTTGAAAGGATGAATACGAAACCAGATTGAAACGAAAATGAAAATACTTGAATTCTCAAAGGCTTTGTTTTTATTACCCAAACATCAAAACTCACAGGACCATTTCGAAGGTTTTCGGATTCCAGTCCTACAACAAAGAATGAGGGAAATCCAATTATAATGCACCTCATTTGCATAACAAATGATTGTTGTTTCTAACAGAGAGCGAAACTGCACACTCCGCATCAGGTTTATGTGATTGGGTTTTTTTTTCGACAACGACAATGCAGCCATGATCTGCAAACCATGAAGAAAACTAAATCCAAAACACAACGGCCTTCTCACATGTTGCAACATCAAGTCGATGCTGCTCGTCGCCCATGGATTACATTTATTTGTGCACGAGTTTTGATGGTGCTCATGGATCACCAACCGTTGTGACCAGAGGCGCTGACAACGGCACTGGGCTGGGGACGATGCAAAGATAAGTTTTAAAGCAACTCAGGAACAACTGCTCGGGATAGTTTCCAGCCAGAGTGAGGTACGTGAACAGATTCCGCCAACAGTTTGTTGTTGAGTTATTGATATACTCCGCGCATGGGCACGCGTAAGTTGTGAATGCGTCGCAGCATCGCCAGGTTAGGACAGGTGGATTCGCTGACCGTAGTCACGGCGCTGTAATTCTGCGCGGAGAAGTCGATAGGGCAAACTGCTTAATCGAAGTTTCTCATGAGCCTCTCTCATTCTGATTTTCTTTTTGCTTACGGCGGTCACTCGATTGAAGGGTACAGCACTCGCCTGTTACTGTATGGAGGAGTTGTCTAGACGGAGATCCCCGCAGCCTTGATCCTGCTTCGATTCCTCCATCACCTGCGTGGTCAATCAATTCAGCCAAGGACGATGATTAAATGCGGACAGGAATCAACCCTGTGAAAATTAATCGGCTAACTTTTGCACAAACAATGACATCTCTAATGCCTTTACACAAGTGTCAAGTGTCTAGTTCTCGCTAGAGATCCTCCAGTACTTAGAACCCAGATATGTAGAAAGTGGGAAATTCGCTTTTAACTTCGATCCAGCTCCACGAGGGCTCTGTCAGCCGCGACTCACCTGTAGCAGCGGAGACAACGCAAAGCGGTGCCACGATGAGAAGCAAACATCGCATCTTCGAAGAGCTCAAGAAAACGAGAGCCATGGCGTGTGGCGAGCAGGGGTCGAGACTCACACACGCAGTGTATCGAATTGTGTTCTGCTGAGCTGATTCAACCCCGAGTCCCACACAAATAAATAAACAAGCAAGGCAAGGAGAAGACCAGACCCAGTGGCGACTAGGTTTGACTGCTGCTCACCGTGGAAGTTCCGGAGACCACATTTCTGGACTTTGCACACTTTGTGTGATATAATGTTGATATAGTTGTTGATGTCTTTGTTGGTGATGTGTTGGAATAGACACAGAACGTCGCAACTCTTGCACAATGCCCTCTTCTCAACAATTTGTACCATCTTTGAACCACCATATTCATGCCCGCACATTCAGTTTCGGCAACTCCACCTTCCGACAGCATCAGCTTCATTTGATCACTCTCATATGTGGCAGTGCCGCTTAGGCCACATAAGCTCCGGCCTATGTCTTCAACACCTCACCCAACTTGGAACAGTTATAGGCCTTTGACAAGTAATTTAGATAACCATGCTTTATCCTACAAACGTTCATTTGTTGTTGTTGCACAGATGATAAAAATGCAATAAATAAAATTTGTAAAGATGACAGTCTCTACTTCTGAAAATATGGAAAAAAAAAAAAAAAAAAAAAAAAAAGACAACAACAACGACAATTACAAGTGATATCGTAAATTCTTGAACAAATAATTTTATATACTATTTTGAATTGATAGGAAATTATTTTAAATAAAAAGTTAAATCAAAAGACGTGATTTTAATAAACAAAAAATACTAATGTAAATATGTGAATAATACAGAAATTAAAGATATAAAAAGTAATAAATTATGTCAACAAATTATTAGTTACAGCAATAATAAAAAAGTTAATTGATCAAATCTAGCAAAGAGACTTGTATTACTTAATTGAAATCAGTAGAGACGCTTCTATCAATTAATCAAGTCCAACGGAGATGCACTTGTTCCTCAATCTTTACCAAGAAAAATACTTTTTTTGTAAAGAATAAAAATTAAAACTTAAAAATATATAGCCAAATGAAATCAAATATTGCTTCAAAATGAAGATTAATTAGTTATTATTAAAAAATCAAATTATTAGTAATATTATAATTAGGGAGGAATTGAGTCAATAAAAATAAATAAAATTTTTAAAAACTACTAAAATAGTGATTTTTTAGAGATGTATCTTTTTCTATTTTATAAAATTAAACTACATTATAAAATTAAATTATAATAAAATTAATAAAATTCATTGATTAAATCCAATAATGAGACTCATGTAGATAAATCATGAAAAAATAAAAATAAAAGAAAAAAATTAGAAATTTGTGAAAAGAGGGTTTTGAAATTTAGATTTAGGATTTAGAGTTTAGGAACTTAAGGTTTATAGTTTAAAATTTAGAAGATAAGATTTTTGAAATATAAAAATAAGGAGTTTTTAAAATTTAGGATTTAAAGTTTAGGAATTAAGAGAACTGAGGTTGATGGATGGGACATCTCAAGATATGGCATACTCTAGCATTTTACAAGTTTTGTAAATTCACTTGTAAAGACTAATAAAAACTTTAAAATTTTATTTTACTTCTATATCAAATTTAACAAGTTGAGTGTATTTATTACAAAAAATTTAAGATAGTTAAGAATTTTTTAAATTATTATTTTTAAAAATAATTGAAAGAAATAAAATAAAATATTATAATAATATTTTTCTTATATAATATATAAATATAAATATATATAATTTATTAAATAAAAATAAAAAACTGAATAAATAAATAATTTTTATAAACTTGTAACAAATAATTAATTTTTATACCTAAAATATTATTTATATATAATAATTAAAAAGTCCGTAAAAAAGACATTTGTAAGTCCTCATTGATTTTAAATAGCAGAAATATTTTCCCACAATGACCATCATCTACTAAAAAAAAAAAAAAAAAAAAAAAAAACAAAAAAAAATTCTAATCACTTCATACTAATCAAATTGATACCATCATTAGAGTTTAAAATATTAACTGGATCAGAAGTTAGAAAAAATATTAATATTATAAATATTAATTTCAATTTTTTAATTTTATATACTGAGATGTACTTTTGAAATTAAAAATTAAAAATAAAAAATAAAAAATATTATAATTAAGTTTTTTATATTTTTAGATGAGTTATAAATTAATCGAGAGTATTTTAATAAAAAGAAGTAGAAATAGATTAAATTATTATTAGTTTAAAAATTCCAAATATTTACTATTAGAATATGGTCCAATATTTTATTTAGAAAATCTATTTTAGAAAACTTAATTTTATAAATATATATATATATATATATATATATATATATGTATAAAATATATTATAATCAATATTTTTTTGATATATAAAATTTCATGCATATCAAAAATGTAATCATATATATATATATATATATATATATATATAATTTTAAATTTATTTTAAACTATTTATTATTTTTACAATAAATTCTTTTGATTAGAAAATATTTCCTATGTAGAATTAAGAGTATAAATAATAAAGATGTCTTTACTTGTCTTGGTTTCAAAAACACCAAAAATAAAAATTCATAGGTTGGTAAGAATGGATGAAGTGACTACATAGGTCTATTACTTGCTGTTGTTGTTATGTTGAAATAAAATCTTGCTGCTAGTATAATAAAATCAAAACCTTTGTAATGAGACATCCAATCATGTTGACTTAGGAACTTATTAGAATGCCAAAAGAGAGAACCTAATATTTTCTTCAATACTTTTTTTTTCTTAGTAGATACCTAATAATTATAATTTTTTTAGTTGTAAAATAATTTAAATTAATCTTATTAATTTTTCAATAAAATATTAAATAATAAAAAAAATGGATTCTACAAGTCTTACTT